AAAAAGGTCTGGAAGAGAAATTAAAGATTGTCAAGGAAAGATGGGTGTTTGTAGGAAGAGTTTGATGGAGATATGCACATCGCTCTAGTCATGTAACATTTTAAGACATTAGTAAAAAATTTCAAATGCTGTTACAATGAATTATACCGACATTTAATATTAAAATCTGAAAAAAAAAAAATTATCAGTATAGAAAGATTTTATGATATCGTTATAGCCAGATATTGGTATAACTAAATGACATGTATTCAGTAAAAATATTTCTCCTATCTTGCTTTAGAGTAAAATTGTTTATATATCAATTAATTAAAATTTAAGATCGAGTATAATAAAAATAAAATAAAATGACACATTTTTCTGTATTTAAATTTTATCGTTATTATTAAATATGAAATTGTGGATGTTTCTTCATCATCAGGCGAATCTATTTGTCGCCGGCAGTCATTGTTCAATTTTACTATATACTATGACCTTTCTAACCCTAAATACACTGTAAATAAAATCCGGGCACTGTCACCACTGATGACAATTAGATTATTTTAAATAAATATGCAGGATTGGGGTGTGCGATTATGTAGATCAAAACTACGATCTCACAAATATATGAACTCCCTACTATAGTACTAAGTTGTCTTCCTCACATAAAAAGATGTGATTATTAAAATTTTAATAGTAATGTGATTATATAAAGTTAATAAATAAAGGGAATTATTATTCGTACCCCCCTGCAAAAATTAAAGTATTTTTTAACTTTGAAAGAAGATATCACAGCAACCACCAAGTTAAATTCGATGAATTTTTTTATCCGAATTATATGAATTTATAGAATTTGAACAAAAAAAAATTCATCGAATTTGACTTAATGTATCTTCGTTCAAAAAATTTTTTTAACTTTGAGCGATGATATCTTAGCAACCCCTAGGTTAAATTCGATGAACTTTTTTTTGTTTGAATTCTATAAATTCACAGAATCAAATAAAAAAAGGTTCATCGAATTTGGCCTGGTGGTTGTTGTGATATCTTCACTCGAAGGTTTAAAAAAATTCAAACCGTCTATCAAAACAAAAGCTGCGCCAAAATTTTCTCCAAACAAAGCAACCGCGAAGTTAAATACAATAAAAATTTTATTTGAATTCTATGAATTCGTAGAATTTAAGTTTGGAGAAAATTTTGGCGCAGCTTTTGTTTTGATAGGCGTTTTGAACTTTTTTTAAATACTTAAGCAAAGATATCTCAGCAACCCCCAGGTCAAATTCGATGAACTTTTTTTTATTTGAATTCTATGAATTTATAGAATTCAAACAAAAAATAGTTTATCAAATTTGACCTGGTGGTTGCTAAGATATTTTCGCTCAAAGTTTGAAAAAATTTGGTACAGCTTTTGTGTACTCTAACCCTAACTACTAACTAACCCTAACTGCTAACTTAATCGCTCAACCTAGCCCTAACTATATTTTGAACTATTTTAAGGTTGAATACAATGACCTTTTTTTTTGTTTGAATTCTATGAATTCGCAGAATTTTAACAAGTTTATCGAATTTGACCTGGTGTTTGCTAAGATATGGGGTCTTTGCCTTGAAAATAACCTTACGGTATCATGTACCGTAAGGTCATTTTCAAGGCAAAGACCCCATATCTTCGCTCAAAGTTAAAAAAATTTTAACACAGCTTGTTTTGAACTTTTTTAAACATCATCTCAGCACTCCAAATTTCTTTTGCCAATGGATTGATACTAAAATATTGAAATATTTGCACACGCCATCACAAGATCTGGCGGCCGCAAATTATAACAGACAAGTATGAATGTTTTTAGGTCTTGCTTTTCTTTTATTTCGTCTGATTGGCTGATGTAAATTAATTGCTCGGGTAACTTATTTATACACTTTAAAGTACTTTTCGAGAACGTAACGTTTCACTAATAAAAAATCACTGCAAAAGCTTAATTCTTTCACAGAACTTTCTATTCCAGTGATCACGTACGTTACTCGTTATTTTGATAATTACAGTTTTATTTAATAAATGTCGATTTTTAAAATGAGTGCTGCAAAGCAAAAACCTGGAATTAATTTTCAAAAAATGATATAAAATCTTTTTGTGACATTAAAAGATCAGGTTTTCGCTTTGCGCTATTTAATCATACTTGGTTTAGATATAATAACAAAATGTAGTAATAATCTATTTATAAATTATTACGATAAATGTAATATCGATACGTACAATAATCATAAAATATTCCTCAAAATTTCAACATCAAAAAAGTAATGTTCCATTTTTTATTAAACGGAAATTTCCGGTTTTACATAAATAATCATGTAACGTAGATCTTCATTCAAGTTGACGTTAATTCCAATTTTAGGCCTACATAAAAACATAAAATGTCGGAGTTACGACTTTGGATTATTTGCACCAAAATCAAGAATATTATAAAACATTCATATTTGTCTGTTATAATTTGTGGCCGTCAGATCAAAAATATTTTACAATCCATTGGCAGAAGAAATTTGGGGAAATTCTAGATAGGTTTACAGTTTTTCAGGATAGGGAGCCACCGTCAGGAATGGATCAACAAGCCTTTGCAAGGCTATTAACATTTGAGAAGGGTTGTCAATTTTGTAAAACTAAAGAGAAACCGTTGATAATATATTAGATTCTTGGTGTTCGCTCTTGCGAGAACTGTATGTTCCCAAGAGTTTTGAGGTAATTTATTATTTTACATATATATATATTTTATAATAATTTGAATCCGAATAAAATTTTATTAATAATATTCAACGATAATGAAGCTCCTGGACTTATTGTACCAGTAACACCAAGCATAGATTTACCAGAATCTCCACATTATTGGATCGATCATGTTAAGAATACTATCGCGTTTTTTATGAATGCTGATGATGATAATAAGCGATGTGCGTTAAATAGCTTAAGAGAAGATGTCGGAAATAAATATGAAGAAGCCTAAAATTATGAAAAATGGATGTTTAATTTACGTAAAATCTACCTTGGACTTTTTTCAAGATTTCACGGTGGAATTGATTAAGAAGCTTTATTCAAAATGCAAGAAGATCATGAATACAAAAAATTGAAGACTTCGAAAGTAATCCTTTTTTGGTACAGGATTGGCAGTAATATTATAAATCAAGAATTTTCCAAATCGCCCAAAGAAATTATGATAATCTCACAAGCTCAAATTTTCCTCCTACACGGGTTCCATCAAAGGACAAATTTAACTAAAAAAATACAAAAAACAATTGTTAAATGTCTAAGGAAATTAACATATGCCTCAGAAGAGAGAAAATCACACAAGTAAAAATTTTTTTTACAAAAATATCTTCTGCGGTCTAATTAAAAATGTTCATTACTAATAAATGTTATTTTGATTATTACAGATCACGTTAGGGACGTGTCCTCCTACCCTACGATATAGTGAGAGATTTTTTGTAATCTATAACGTGGATGCGCGCGTCAAAAAATTTTTTACCTCTTAACAAAAAAAACTATGCGATATACCTGAGTTACTGGTGAAAATTTTTAAACGTAATAAGAAATCTGATGTCTATAGCTTTGGAGTAATTCTTTGGGAAATTTCAAGCGGAAGACCACCATTCCCATCCTTTGATTCAGAATTTTAAGGGTAAACATAGAAAAGCCTAATAATAAAAGCATTTCTTGGATTACTTTCAAAACACAACTTAGATATTTTGCTCCGGTCTTCAACTGGCTACCATATTATTCATTTCAAACTTTTTGGGGTGATTTTGTCGCCTCGTTAACTGTCACGACTATTCTATTACTGTACCTTCAGAATTATCATATTCTGTATTGGCGGCTGTTCACGGTTTATATAGTATAGTAATACCTGGAATAGTTTATGCCTTTCTTGGAACTTCGAGGTAAATATCCGTGATTTATATTTCCATGATTAGATAATTTCACTAGTTAATCAGGCAATTGGTTATTGGTCCCGAAACTTTAGTATCTATGCTTGTAGGTTCTTCGATTGTGCAGCAACAAAAATATTTAGAGAAATCTGATCCTGAAACAGCTATTATAATTGCTGGATTGATTACATTTTTTGTGGGTATCTTGACGCTCATAATAGGAATATTCAGACTGGGTTTTATCGATTCTGTATTATTTCGCGCTCTTTTAAGAGGTTTCATCTCAGCTGTGGCGATCGTGATCATAATTGAACTAGGTTTCATCAGTAGAAAAATTCATTTATATCGTGGTGAAGCCCATAGACTTACGACTGTAGTTTCATTCTCTAGTTTTATTTTTCTTCTGTTAAGTGCTGCTCTCAAATCAAGGTATTCAAGGCGATATCCTTGGGTTCAATTTATTCCTGAAATTTTAATATATGGAATTATTTTTACTATTTTATGTGCTATTTTCAAATGGGATATGGATGGTCATATTCAAGGTGGTGGTTTTCCTTCTTTCCAAATTCCTACACCATCACATAAGATACATATACTGGATTATTTCCAAACTGCTGTTTTGATTTCAATTGTTGGGTTTGTAGAGTCGTTGTGGTTACCAAAACTTATGCGACAAAATATAATTATTCTGTCAGTTCAAACGTGAATTAGTAGCCTTAGGCGCTGCTAATTTAATATGTAGCTTTTTCCAAGGGTTTCCTGCATATGGTGGTATGACGAGGAGTAGCATAAATGATAGAGCTGGTGCTAAAACGCAATTTTCTGGGTTGATAACTTGTATATTTGTACTTGTTTGTTTGTTTTTCCTCCTTCCTTTATTCTTTCATCTACCCAAATCGGTTTTGGCGTCAATTATTAGTTTTGTAGCATTAACATTAATGCATGAGCTTCCCAATGACCTGCATTTCATGTATAAAATCAGAACATGAATGAGTTTGGTTTATTATTTTTGACTTTCTTAATTATAATTTTTGTTTCAATCGAATACGGCGCATTGATATTAGTTGCATTGTCTTTGGTGCTTGTGGTTAAGCATACCACTTATCCACGTATTGCCACATTGGTAATTTATTGATTTTAAAATTCTTGACAAATATTCAAATGATTGTTCAAATATTCATTATCTTTTTTTATTTATTTTTTTTTGAAAAAAAAAAAAAGTATAGGGTCATATTGGTAATACCAACAAATTTAAACCGATCAAGGACTTTCCTGATTCTGCTGAGCACGTAGAAGATGTACCTGTTGTTCGAATATCAGAGCCTTTAACACCGGTCAATTAAACGATCGATTAAGACAACTAGAAGCGTTTGGTGATATGAGTGTTCATCCTTCTGAAGAGGCGCGATTGTCACCAGTTGAAAAAGTAATTTTTGATATAGAAATTATGGAAGATTTAGACGCTAGGTAATTTATTAAAATAACTTATTAAATGACGAATATTTATAATTATACTAATTCAATTCTAATATTTGTGCATATTAAGTGCTGCACAAATTCTCACAGAAATAGTAGAAACTTATCACAGCCGTAATGCCAATGTTTTCTTTGTAAAACTACGTGAAAACCAAAAGAAACTTTTCGTTCGATCAGGATTATGGAATAAAGTAGGAGAAGACCATTTCTTCGGGTAATTTTGATTTATTTGGTTTAATATCAAATTTTTCATCCACATTTATAGAAGGTACGCCATCTCAATGTAATAATGAAATTTCTTTTATTTATATTCTTGCATATTAGTAAACCGACATTGGAGCAAATTTTTTCTGGCATCCTTTTTCACTTAGTAAAAACTCTACGTTTATATCCGGATATTTTTCATCTGCCATTGAAGATGACAAAATCAATATGGAATAATTGTTGATCTCCCTATTACTCTTTTTTAATTATGCAAGATTTTTAAAGTTCTCGGTCTTTACCTTCTTGGATATAATCTTCGAACTTGACTAAATTAGAATCTATTGATTTAGATGATTTATCTAATTTATTAATTAAGATATTTGTTGATAGTGGCGCTACTTTATTGAAATTAAATATCCGTGGAGTTATTCAAAACGGTAATTCAAATTTGGTTATTAAACCAGAAGTCTTTTACTCATTAAGACAGAATGATCAAATTTTTTTCTCAGCTTCAAGAATTAACTGTAAGATTATCAGTTGACAATAATCTTGACGACGATTAGGGTCCTTTTGATCCAGCAGGCACCTGGACTCATGGATGTATGGAGAGATGAATTTTAGGTAAGATTGCGATATAAGATTAAATAAACCTTTCGCCAATGTGAAATTACTGATTTCTCTAATGCACAAATTTAGAATTATATGAGGATTAGGTTTAGCACAAAATATTAGAATCACAAATCGAAACGGGTACTCTATAATCGTAAATCTAATCAGCAAACCTTGGAACGATCAAATGTAGTAATTTATGCACTATGATTACTGAATATTCTAGCAGTGATTACAATGTTTGTTAAGGATAAAAACACGTATGGATTTGAACACTTGCATGCGGTCTGTCTTTTAATAATATTTAATTCTTAATTTACTTCTAATGCAGGTTTATTGCTTTCATTATTTATAGGTTACAAAAGACGTAATTCAAAAAAAAATAATTATTATTATCCGGCGCGTAGGTTTTTCGGCATCGTTCAATGGGCAAAAATCCGAAGTATTTATACAGTATTTAGAAGAAATTAGTTGCAATCAAATTATGTTCAAAGGCACAACGGCACCTCTGTGGATTTTTGTCTCCCGAGCAGCAAACATCAACCTTAGCAATAGAGGGATTAGTAACGAACCTCGATGAAAATTCAACATTGACATTTTTGAATCTCATAGCTTTCCAATGTTTGTTAAGGTTAAAAACATGTATTAATTTGTACACTTGTATATGGTCTGTCTTACTATTTAATTATTAATTTATTTCCAATGCAAGTTTATTGCTTTTCATTATTTATAGGTCACAAAAGACGTAATTTAAAAAAAAAATTATTATCCTGAAGGGGTGTGTAGGTCTAATTTTCGGCATCGTCCAATTTGCATTTATGTTAAAGGTATTTATTAAATAATTCATGTACTAGCAATTTATTCACATCAACTAATGTTTAAAAAAAATAGAATTGGCGGATACTCTTCACGTGCTAGAGATTGAATTAGCAAGATATTTGAAAAATGTAATTTTGGATCTCTTTGTTATAGGCGATGATGATTATTGGGAACCTTGGGAATGTTTTTTTTTTTTTTTAGAGTAGTTTTATTGTGAATTTGGGGCTTTGTAGATGTGAACTGAAATTAATGAACTATCGAAGTTATATTATGGAAATTCACATTTTAGTTTGTTATAAAGTAGATGCTGATTTGTATAGAGGTTGGAATCGAATTTAATTTTTTAATTCGAATAAATTCATGCAAATTCGAATTAATAAAATTGGTTTAATTAATATGAAATTGTACAAAGAACATATGTGTTTGGATGGATCCTGTGTATATTAATGTTCTCAATTTTCAATCGACACGTTGTTTTTGTAAATACCCTAGCCATGGCGAAAAAAAAGTAGCAGACACGTGATGCCGATCATTTCTGACCCAATCGGACTTACCCGATATGATTTAAAAATAAAAATCAGATTTTTAAAAATTTGAACGAAGATATCTCGGCAGCCACTTAAGCAAATTTAATGAGCTTTTTTTTATTTTAATTCTAGAATACTTTAGAATTAAAATAAAAAAAATTCCATCGAATTTGCTTAGGTGGCTGCCGAGATATCTTCGTTCAAAGTTTGATAAAAAATTAAAACACCTATTAAATAAAAGCAGGGATAAAATTTTGAACGAAGATATCCCAGCACCACCTAAACAAATTCGATGAATTCTTTTTTTTTTAATTCTATCAACCCTCTAGAATTAAAATAAAAAAGTTTATTGAATTTGCTTAGGTGGTTGCCGAGATATCTTCGTTCAAAGTTTTATCCCTTACTTCTATCTAATAGGCGTTTTAATTCTTTATCGAATTTTGAACGAAGATATCTCGGCAGCCACCTAAGCAATTCAATAAACTTTTTTTTATTCAATTCTAAAGGCTTGATAGAATTAAAAAAAAAAGAGTTCATCAAATTTGTTTCTGAGATATCTTCGTTTAAAGTTTTATCCCTGCTTTTATTTAATAGGCGTTTTAATTCTTTATCAAACTTTGAACGAAAATATCTCGGCAGCCACCTAGATGAAATTTTTTTTATAGAATTAAAATAAAAAATGTTCATTGGGTTTGCTTAGGTGGCTGCCGAGATATCTTCGTTCAAAGTTTTATCCCTACTTCTATTTAATAGGCGTTTTAATTCTTTGAATGGAGATATTTTAGCAGCCACCTAAGTAAATTCGATGAACTTTTTTTTTTTTAATTCTACTAAGTGGCTACCGAGATACTTCATTCAAAGTAAATAAACTTCCATTATAGCATTATTATTATTTTTTAATTTAATGATAGAATGTCCAATGATGAGCTTCTCAAATTCGATTAGAATCTTTTCATTATACAAAATCATGGATTATTTTTAATTATGCATCTGTCTAAAAATGAACTATTGAATTTCGTCAAGGTAGTATTTTTTATTAATAAATTGAATATTGTACGTATTGCATTATAATAAATATAGTATATACATGCATCACGAATTCATTTAATTAATTTGGACTAACTCATCTAATGTGGTTAAATATCAATTATTAAATTATGCGAATATGGTTTATTTCTATATTGGAATTGTTGGCTATCGCTACGTATACCTTATTTATTAATCTTGGTATATAAATTTTGCATACATTAAATCTCTTTAATTTCATTCGATTCATATTTAATTATTGCAGTACGTGAGCATAAAAAGAGTATTATATTTGTGCATAATTAATATGTTCGCTTCTTATTATCTAATGATAAAGCTAGAATATTGTTTGGTTAGATTAGTGACTGGCGTCGTAATCATGTGAATCAGCCAGGATCGCCCCCCGGAAGTTCGGGTGATGACTACATACGTATCATTGTTAGGTGACAATTTGAAAGTACCGCAAGGGTTAATGGTTAATACAGTAATAAAAAAATCATTACCCGAACTTCCGGGGGCGATCCTGGCTGATTCGAATCATGGGATGCTAATTGTCATGTGGTAAAATATATCAAAAGTTACATTTTTGGTTTTTTGCGCATAATATATTATGTACATACATACGTGCAATGCAGAAATTAACAATTAAATCTCTTGATTTTTATCAACAATGGATCCCTTTTGATATGCCAATAATACATACTTAATAGCAACTACGTATTATATGCAAAACTTAAATAAGTTATTGATTGAAATTTTGGATTTTTTGTATGTATTGTATATATATATATATATATATACAGTCAAACCTCTCTATAGTCACCCTCTATATAAGCACATTATATAAAAATTCTCTTTATAAGCACATTAATTTTAAAACCAACTACAGTATTATAAACATATAGAAAAAAAACTTCTTTATAAACACATTTTAGTAAAATTCTCTTTACAATCACACAAATCTTTATTTCGAGTGATGTATTATAGGGAGGTTAGACTGTATACATACAGAAATTGATAATAAAAGCTCAATTAATTATATTTTAATTATTTATATTGCTTTTATATATTTACTGCTTATTTTATATAGAGGCTATGTAGTTCAGATTTAATAATTTAGCATTTATTTATATATGATTTTAAAATAAGCTTTAGTATATCTTATAAATCATCGAATTCAAATAATGATTTTGGGTGCGTCAATTGCTACTTTAATAAAAGCAGTGTTGGCATATGACCTGTTATAATCTTTATAACCTTTATAACCAGTCATAAGTCATAAGGTCATAAAAATGATGATATGACTTATAACCTTGGTTATAATCCTACTCAATAAAAATTACTTTTAGCTATCTATAAAAATTGTGATATGTAATACACAGATTTTGTAATATATTATGTGAATACTAAATACAAGGTAAGTATCTCTATTTTGACGCAGGTAACGTTTATGATAAATATCACGTGTCTCACTGATCAGAATTGGATGATTTTGGCACCATTCAATTTGCCTTGTTGAAACAAATCAAATGGCAACAAAATCACCCAATTCCAATCACCAAATCATGAGATATTATTCATTGAAGTTTGGCTAAAAAAATGTTTTTAATTTGATATAATGCCTAATTTGACGCAAGTAAACGTTTACAGTGGATACTATATGATATATTAATTGGATTCACAAGATTTTTGTACCATTCAATTTATCTCATCGAGACGAATTAAACAGTACCAAAATCTTGTGAATCCAATTAATACATCACATAGTATCCACTATAACCGTTTATCTGCATCAAATTAGATACATCTACCTTGGACTATTTTGGCTAAATAGAGTATCTCAAGAACTATCAATCAGAACCAAATAGTACCAAAATTATATGATTCTGATTATTGGTTCGCAAGATATTGTTGTGCGTCAAATTAGGAACTGTATCAAATTAGGTATATCTACCTCATATATTGTATATATATAAATAAAAGAACTTTAAATTTTATTTTTTTATATACAAGCTTTAACATATTTTATTTTA